ATGAATGACAATGCTCCAGCGAAAAAGGTATTTGATGTAGCGATTAGTGGAAGAAGATGTACCTACAGACCATGTCTCAGATGAAGTGATCAAATGTGGAATGCTGTGAGCATGGTTAACGTATGAGACTGAAGAAGGTTGTGTACGCAGCAAAGACATCTGGTGAAGAGTGCTGGGACCGGTCGATACGTAGTGACGGGTTGTTATAGACAATTTAGTTAGTAAATTAAGTAAGTCAGTATTTAATATACCATTGGAGCTCCAGCTCAGAGCTATCTAAAATTCCCCAACAGAGTTTACTTGTATAGGGTTTACTTGTAGTGATTAACGCTGTCCCTTCGTTGTGAGTCAAAACCCAATTAATGTTATTTATATTATAAAATGCCTTTAAAATTTTTATTCTTTAAATATTTTTCTAAAATGGTAATGACTGCAGTTAACAAATGTTTTTGAAAGAAACAAAACAAATGTATCTATAATGCAAATACATATTACTTCCGATAAACAAGTTTAACTTATCAATCTTAATTAAATTGAAATTCAAATTGTATCTCAAACAGCTAAATAATTGATGTGTTTTTGAAAGGAAAGGCAACAAATTGTGTTTGAGCGAAATGCCTATATAAACATTACCATAGTTTAATTATAATAGACATGTCAGATTAGGTGAAGAATTTAATTATATATCGCATACTGAGCTACATGTCCGAACCGGTGAATATATTTTCAAGTTTTAGGATACATTAGTAATTCTGTGTAAATTTGCATCTTTTCACAATGCATATGTGAGTTAATAAATTTCATAAAATATTTACTAAATAAACAATTTATGTAGATACTTTAAGCACTTCTAAGCCTAATGCATCCAAAAAGCAAAATCAATTTTTGTATTGAAATATTTTTATTTAATTTTTTTTTTTTATTTAATTTAAATTTGTTACTCTTTAATTCTTAATTATTTAAAACGATATTTGAAAGCACTTAAAATAGTTGCAAATATTTCAATATAAAAAATTAATTGTGCAAATACTTCTAACATAAAACTAAAACTTGGATTTTTGTTAAAAAGTTTCAAATTTTTTACACAAAACTAATTTCCGTTCAACTTTTTTGATAATGAAACGTTGAACCAAAAATTAATATTCTCTCGGTGTTAAACTTTTTTAATTCGGAATAGTTTGATGAAAAACTTCAGCTCAAAGATTTCGAAGGATATGAAATTATCCTTATGACACAATCAAAATTAGATAATCGGATTTGAACCCCTTTATAGGTCAGTTGAAAGGAAATTGCATTGAAATAAAGGTCTGCATAAATTTAAGTTATTTTTAATATAAAAAATATGATTAATTATATTTTGGACTCCATAATATTACTATAAACTTAGTCATGTGTTTCCTTTTAACACCAGATAATATTAGTGAATTTTTGTTAAATACATAAATAACAAAAAAATAATAAAGAAGCCTTTTTATAAAAAATATATAATATTGTGAAATATTATATTAAGCCTACCACTTGCAATCCATCAAAATTATAACCGGTCTATAAACTTATTAAATAAAAATTCATATACTTCCTAAGACCACTAATGATGAGTAAGTACTTGGGAATACTCGTAACAGCATTTTATGGTTAGCCAAATTTCAACAGACTAATTAAAATTTTTGTTGTTGTTTCTGCATTACTATTGGAACCTTTCTAACTTATAAATAGTTTCTTTTATAAGAAGGCGCATCAGATTCGAAAAAAAAATTAATATTTAAAAAGATTATTATTATTATTTTAAAAATTGTGTATTCTGACTATGAGAGTAGGCCAAGGTGCTTTCATTTTTAATTAAATTTTCACCAACTTAACTTTAAGGAGAAATTTTTAAGTATCACTACTTTATGGATGTATCGCAGAAGCTACAAGTTGTTCAAAGTCAAGCTTTCCGACTCTTCAAAGTGCCATCCGCACGAATGACATGCTAAGAGACCTTGGAATAGAAACTGTAAGCGAAAACCGACAGGAACCGACAGGCTGCCTTACTTATCACTATTTAATCTCAGAATAATCACTTACCGCACGGGGCAGTATGCAGATATTAGATCAGTCATTGAATACTCACGAACCCTATGAGGAAAATACAAATTAGTCAGTGAGATGGGTGTGACTCCTCAGAAACCCTCCAGCTATTAAATTGTAAAACCGACAGGAATCGACAGGCTACCCTACTTAGCACTATTTAATCTCAGAGTCATCACTAACCGCGCGGGGTGCTACGCAGATATTCGATCAGTCATTGAATACTCACGAACCTTATGAGGAATACACAAATTAGTCAGTTAGATGGGTGGAACTCCTCAG